TTCTATTTTACATGTCTCATATCTTCCGGCACATCAAAGTAATATATATATATATATATATATATAAAGAGCAAATGAGTCTTGTTGCACCTGGTTTGCTTGAAGGTAACTATTGGTTTTGTGTAAATGTAACTCCACGCTGATGGATGTGTTTCCTGAAAAATATATTAAAATATTATAATTAATTAACATTAAGAAGATGAAGTATGAAAATAATACAACTAGTTAAATTATACCTGATTCAAATTGTTGTTCATATTAATAATGTGAAATGGGCTTCTACTATTCCAAGTGTCATAAAAGACTTGTGGGATGAAAGTTTGCTCTCGTGAAATAAGTTGAGTGGAACCAAAGCTTTGGGGAACTAAAGGTTGTTCTCGTACAGTTGATTAAATTGAGAAACACATACCTAATACTACTTCTGGTTCTAATTATAAGAGCCAGTTGACTAATTTGAAGAAATTAAGAAAAGAAGTTAAGTTAGTTATTTGTAATAAATAAGTGTTGTCTTTCCTAAAATATCCTTACTACTCAAGTATGTTGGCTAAAACTATAATTATTAGAAGGACTATCTTGGAAAAAATTGAGTAAGTATGAGAGATAAAATGGATTGGGGTCTTATATTTAGGACCAACACAAAAATTCAACGGAGTCTTATATTAAGGACCAAAGGTAGTATATATGCAAAAATCATTTATAAAATTAATCTCTTATTTAATTTTTGTTACTTTTCAAAATAGCCTTTTCCCCTGCCACTTCTACTCTTTTTAGGTTTTGCTCTCGGGAGATCAATAATTTGGTCTACTTCTTGAGTTGTATCTTGATTGCTAGCATGAATTTCTTTATTCTTTTCCATATCATTGATTTTATTCAAATTGCATAGATATTTTTGAACTTGTTGAGATCCATTCTTGATAACATCCCATGTGATATTTTGAGTTTCTTTGTGATCTTGTGGGGCCAACACAAGGTTATAAAAAGACCGCATGATGGAATTACGGTACACGATTCTTGGATCTTCACTAGCATCACATTCTCCTTTATGCTCATAATTGATAAACTTCGCATTCTTTGACCATCGCTTTAAGAAGTATTTGTTTCGTATTCTTGTCACACATTTAATGTTATAAACTCTCAATGCATGTAAACAGAGAATACCCATAGATTCAAATTTTTTGCAACTACAAGTAACATTTTTGTTAGAAGAATCAAATTGCACAAACCACCTTTTTAACTCTTTTCCATCCACCCACAAATCATAATAAAAAGTGTCTCCACCCCTTTTTATTTCTTTAAAAAAAGTTTCCACTCCATCCAAATATTCCTTCTCAAACAATTTGAAAAATTTTCTAGTATAAATCTTTGATGCATGGTATAAAGTTTTATTCTTGTTGATAGCACATGAAGGAGTGGTTTGACTATTGTGAAAATCTTCTTCACCCTTAGAGCTTTTTTATTTTTCTACCATCTTCTTAAAAGCCAAGAAAAATTCTATAAGAGTAGTTTTTTGTTGTTGTTGATATTTCTCCCAAAACACTATTAGTGTTTTCACTCCTTTGAGAAGATTTTGTATTTGCAGAAAACATATCTTTGCCAAATACAGTTGACCATTTATGCTGCAATTGCATATATTTTGCTGGACCAACCATGGCCACTGAGGTTAACTTTCCTAACCATTTCATCCCATGTAAAATTAAGATCAGAGTCTGGTACAACCATCCAGCAAACAAGTCCAATAAAAGTAAGCAAACCAAAACCAAAAAAACGCAACCAAACAAAATCAGCCTGGTTCAAAAGGAGTATCCAAATCATCCATCAGCAATTTCTTCTAAATTCTGTCAATCAGAGGGCATGACCCATCCAATAAGACCGGACAACCCAAATAGCTACTAAATTTGTTTCTCTGAAAATCTATGACAAATCTGGTTCTTGATCGGGAGGCCTTGTACGTGGCTGCAAGATTCACTTTTAATGGTAGACGTGTGGGAATAGATCGAACCCCTCAACAGTTGGCAATGGAAGATCGTGATAGTATTGATGCCCTGGAACAAGTTAATGACTAAAATGTTTGGGAAATTAAGTTTATATTAGTCATCCAGGATCACTTTAGACTTGTTGGCAAAAAAAAAAAAAAAAGAATCAGTTTCGACCTTTTTCCCCTCGTTTTTTTCCCCCAGCTCTTTTGCTCTGTACAGGATTAGGCTACAATTTTTTTCATGGAAGCTTTTGGAAATATTAATGTAGTCCTTAATTTATAACGACAAATCAGTAATTCTAAATTTATTTTTCCTAAAATTTTAGCATCACTTTCATAGATCTGTTGACAAAAAATCAATTGGCAGATTCGTGATTTTTACGAAACGTAAGAGATTAGCGGAGTCAAATCAATTAACAATATGTTTGGTTCGATTAATTTATGACTAATTATGAAATTTGCATGATGGCATTAAGATTCTTGTCCCCCAACAACTTCCTCTACCCTCATTCTTCTTGTTTGGCAAATAGATGGCGATTCACAAACAGATATATGGCTTCTTAAATCACGTTGAAGCTCTTGGATAATACTTAATCTTTTTATATGATCCATATTTAATAAGATGGATGGAGGGGAGAAAGATGCCCAATTTTCCATGCATTTGATATTATAAATTCGATGAGATGGCTGAAGGATGAAGACGATCTCAGATATATGAATGGGAAGACGATGATGACCGAACGAGATGGTGGGGGAATAATTTTGGTCTTTACACTTTTATTGCAGTTAAATTAAGTGTTAAAAAATAAATTTGCATCTAAATATTTTTAATAACTCACCAAACAAAACCTCATATAATCAAAACATTACACCATATTCCATTAAATTTAGACAATGTTTGATATTGCGAAATTAAATTACGGAGGCCGTTATTAGATTTACCGATGAATTCTATTGACTTTGTTAAACTTGAAAGTGCCTTATAGCTAGTATCATAGGAAACAAACATACATACATACATATATATATATATATATATAGTTTGTTATCATCACATATTTTATTATTACGGACCAAGAGAAAATGTGGTTTGCGAAAGGAATGGGTGACCAAACAAAGAGGCCCCAGCCATTACTCATTAGAAGCAAAATTAGGGTTATAAGGAGTCACTTCTGTGATCATCCTTCTCCTCTCTCTGCGGCGTACGTCTTTCTTCTTCCTCTTTGTGCCCTAATTTGGGGCCCTGAATCATATATGTGTGTGTGTGTGTACTGTTGAATTTGAAAAATGAAGGAATTGAGAACACTAAGGACGAGAGATCGTGGAGAAAGTGAGCACGTGATTTATCGTGGGGAAGCATTTATTGTGACAGAAACACAAATGATTTGTTTTAGCGGTCCAGATGACTCAGAAGGAAAGAAGAAGATCGCATAATACTACAGGTGACGCATATGTTGGGGGTGAAAGATATATACTATAGGATTGGGAAGAATGTGAGATTAGAGTTTCTGATGGATGATTATAATCATCGTAGGGGAAACGGAGATCGATATTCGTTCAAGTTTTCTGTTATAACGCTGCAAGACGATCACACACCTAAGCAGTTGAACATGAAACATTTTGATGTTATTCGTGCCAGGAAACACTTCTGTGGTGGTGGGATACCAAAGTCCCCTGTTTAGGTTTTTTTTTTTTTTTTTTCCCGGTTTCGCTTTCATCTGTATGTTTTTGAGTTCTTCTGTTTATTGAAATTTGCTTCTCAGTTCATTTTTTTAGTTTTATCTTTGTTAATCAGTTGGATATTTATTTTAGTCATAAATAGAAGATTATAATATATTTTGTGATTCGATTTCATGAGGCACTAGCTCGCATCTCTTCATGAGGGCCCTAGACTGTCTAATGATTGTTACTCAATTAAAAATATTCGAACTGATTGTTTACCAGGTTAAAAAAATCGGTTTGAGATTGTGTTACTTCGCACTATTATTTAGATGAGGCGACAAGAAAACAAAAATTGCACTCTTCCGTTGGGAATACATACGGTACAGAAAAGGAAATTGCTTTTTTAGGCGTAAAATATTAGTTCTGTATTAGGAAAAATAGGAAAGAATCAATATTTAGATTTTATTAGCTTCAATTGATGGGATAAAAGAAAATAATAGAATCAATTCATATTAATTTTAAATATGAACTAATTCGAAAACAATAAAGACAGCTACCATGGTGAACAATCAATTCGAAATTACCGATGATATTCGGGAGCTACCCTGGATGATATAATTTTTATTAATATTTTGATTAAACTTTATAATATCTTCAATATTTTTTAATGCAACAAAGAAAAAGAATTAAGGTATTTATCAAATAGTGAGTGAATATTTACTATCAAAATACAGTAATTTTTATTCTTATTCTGGAAGCTTTTATTCAGGAGCACGGGGCATGGGGAAGTTTACTATATTTTAAACTTTTAGAATAAATTTATATCCAAAAAAAATTTCAGGTGACAAGCGCTTTTAAGTGAAAAATTTTAAAGTAAATTTTCCGTTTAACATTTGTTTTTTTGATAATTTGCTAAAAATTCTTCATTGCAAAATTTTTTAACCAAAAGTGTATATAAGTACTCATGTCCTTGAGTTCTAGTGCAACTTTCCACTTGCTTACAACATATATGCAAGTGTCTGCGTTTTGCACATAATTAAAAATAATTTGCGTACCTAATGAAGATAGATTAAGCCGAGGTCCTTAATTAAATTTTATGCATATTTGGGCAATAAATTTTGCGGCGCACAAGATTTTTCAACCTTTTTTTCTTATCCTTGACATAGCCCAAAAATTAACAAAATAGCCTGTACTTTTTATCCATAGATCCACAAATTAAGATGTATTATCATGAGCTTATAGATAAAAACTCTTTATTGAATCATAACAGAGCATCATAGGCCCATTTACATACATATCTTCAGATCACTTGTGTCTACATACCTTCACGTTGAAAAAAACCTAATTTTTGCATTTGCCTCTTTCAACACTTATCGCTAACAACCACGGCTTTAGGACCATCAGGATACTCTGGGATACGTACGTTTTCTCCAAACAAACCTTTAGGACTCTCAGGAATGTGTTTATTCTTCTCTTCGAGCAAGCTTTCGGGACTCTCAGGAATGCGCTTATTCTTCTCTCCAAAAAAGCCTTCGGGATTCTCAGGAATGTGCTTATTCTTCTTTCCAAACAAGCCTTCGTAGCTCTCTGGAATGTGCTTATTCTTCTCTCCAAAAAAGCCTTCGGGACTCTCCGGAATGTGCTTATTCTTCTCTCCAAACAATCCTTCAGGAGTCTCTGGAATATGCTTATTCTTCTCGCTAAACAAGTCCATAGGGCGATTAGGATTCTCAGGAATGTGCTTCTTCTTTTCTTGAAAATGGATATGAGAGGCACGACAGAGAGTTGGAAGCATTACAAAAGCATGGCTTGCAATAAGTATTACAATCACAGTTGCTAATGGCAATGAAGAAGTAAAACAGGTCCTCCTTATGTTTGCCATTTTTCACTCACAAAATTGTATGACAAATTAACCAATACATGGCTCTATTTTTATAGTTTGACATGTGCTTTTTGGGAAGGCAGAATTATGCGTGAAAATCAAATATTCAGGATTTTTTTCCCTAAAAATGATAAATACTTTGTGCCTCACTTGTAAATTTGTGTTGTTTGAGTAGTTAATAATGTTAAATATACTTTTGATTATAAATATGGGTTGTTATTTGTATAGTCGGTTGCTAAATTTGCGTTAGGTGAATAGTAAATTTGAGGACATACATTCTTATCATTATAATTCTTCCACTTTGGGGGTGATACTCGCAAATCCATTACATTGTATGTGTTTCTTTTTTAATTCTGGTGCATCCTCTAATGTTCACATCTATTTCTTTTAGATTTTTTTTGTTTCTTTAAATAAAAACCATTATCTTGATTTGGCCGCGGAAAGTTGAGGAAAAAATTAAAACTCAATTATTTTCAATTTGATAAATCAATTCGATAATTATTCATTACTTATCTTCCAGGTTATTCTGTCTATTAATTAATAATTACAAATTAATGATATAACACAAATAACAATGTATATACTCAATTGCACCTTTTTTTTAATAACCAAAGACAAAATGAGATTAATTCCAAGGACTGTTTTCTTAGTCTTAATTCCTTATCTATTGGTTTATTATCTTTTTGTAACCTGTGAATTTCTCTTAATTAATACTCTTATAATTTTAGAAGGGATAAACATTTTTCCAAGATGTCAGATTTCATACGTTATAAGATATTTCATTAATTAATTAATTGCATGCATTATAATTTCAATGATCTTATTGAATGAATTACAATTCTCATACTACAAGAAAAACACACTTTTACATTGTCTAATCTGCGCTGGTTATTACGCCGAAGGGTAATAGATGAGGCAGTGGTATTTTTTAAAATAATGATACAATATTTAAAACGGTTATCATGACACCCAGTGTCATTATTATTTTTTATATCAAAGGTTGACCTGACCAGTGTAATACTCCCTCCGTTCCTTATTATAAGAGACATTTGATGCTTATGGCATGTTCCTATATATAAGAGACACTTAAAAGTTATCTATACTTTTTTGTGTTGATTTCTTATTTTACCCATATTTATTATCTCCAACTCACACACTCTCTCCTTCCCACTTCTCTTTCTTTTAATAATTTACCATTATTCTCTCTCATGTTCTCTCTCCTTATTAATGAGGGTATTTTTGGAAAAAAATTATACTTTTTACACATTAATTATTCTTAACTAATTTTAACTATTTTTTTATCAACGTAATTCGGTTATTTGTCTCTTATAATAAGAAACGGAGGGAGTACTAATTAAATGACATTAATAATTGTAATACTTGTTTTGGCCACAACAATTTTAAAAGAGGTTAAGATGCAAACTTGTTCGAAAGTATTTAATCAGGAGTGTTGGGCACTCAAATTTTTTTAATATGAATTTGTCCCAAAAATTTAAAATCATAGCAATATTGCATTTTACTGTTAATAATATTAACGTTAAAAATTGGTTTTTTCTTTTTAATAGTAGGGGTATTATTAGTACAATTCTAAACTTTCGAATCAAATTTGCAAAAATATAAAATTTTGAGTACTTAGTACTTATGAGTAAAAATTCTTGAGACGAATTTACATCCTAAGCTATAAGGTTTCCCCTTTTGCTCGAGTGTTTTAATATAATTAGCTTCTACTCGCTACTCAGATGCTTCTATCCACCAGACAGGCATGTGAGACGGTGTCATGGCGCTGCAAAGCTGAAGTTCTAAATGTACGCCGAGTTGGAGAGCATGATAAGAGGTGGCCAATTGGCACACTGGCATGGGGTCTCTAGGAAAGAGGACACAGCAACGCCATGTGGAGCTGAGTTGGAGACAAATCTTTGTCATATAAAATGAGTTAGTGATAGTAAGGATAATTATATAAAAAAATTAAAAGATGAGTTCACAGGTGAGTTAAAAATTGAGAGAATGAGTTATACCGAATCGTAATTGAGGGGACTGAGTTATAAATAAATTAAGAGTTGGAAGATTAAAAGATTAATTTTTTCAATTTTACTTTAAAATTTTTTTGATTCCTGTAGAACGTCTTGGAGAAAAAAATAAAATCAATACATAGGTATTTTGTTCAATTCCGAATAACATAATTATTCATTTACTCAATGATATTCTTATACCCTCATTTACAACTTTAGGATCACATAATTGTCCCAGGACTAGGAAGATAGAGCACTTGTTATTATTAATGGGAAGAAAGAACTTTGTAGGAATATATTTTAATGCTCTGGTCTGTGCTTCTTTTCATTGAACAAGCCCTGGCGACCATCTGGATCATCTGGTGCACGTCTTTTCATAGTTTCTGTGAAAGCAACCATTTCCAAAAAAAAAACACACACACACACACAAGTAAGTTTTAACACATTGAAAGAAAATTTTGTGAGATTTCAACTATAACTATAATACCAAAAAATACTTGCATACATACTAAAAAGTAATGATTTTTCTTTTTCGAAGTCAGAGAGGCAAATGCTAACAACCTAGTGTTACAAATATCATCAAGCCCATGACTTTTTACTTATAATTGTTTTTTGGTTATGCGCATGCATTTTCTTATCAGAGTTCAATATACTATCATGTATTAAATATAGACATTTCTTTTAGTAAGAATTAAAATTTTAGTTTGCTAATTGGTGAACAACTAGTCCTTTTTATTAGATTTAATTGTGTTTGTTATAAAAAAAATTATATCACTAGATTACAAAATTATTTACTATTCTCAAAATACATGATTTTGCAATGGCCATTGACTACCACTTGGGGTTCGGCCTTGGCCCTCCTGAGCCTCCTGAACACAATGGCATAACATCATCGTTGGGGTCTGCAACTTCAATAATCAATGCCAACATGATGACATTGTTCCTAAAAGATATTAAGAATATTGTATTTATTATTAAAGTGAATTGTTCAAATTGTACATTCTCTTTCTTGAACTTTTCCTCTATAAATAAAGATATTTTGAGCAAAAAAATTATATTTTTATATTTTTCTTCTGTAATTAATCTTAACCCATTTTTATTAACATGGTTTGGATAATTTTATTTTAAGCAAAAAATTGAGGGAATATTAACTGATTGTAATAGCTTTTTAATTTTTAACATTCTCGAGGAATATGTAATAAATGAAATTAAACACATAACTATTTGTAATAGTAATGGTTAAAATTTCCACAACGACGATAATAAAATGCATGCATATGCAATCATACACATTCCTTTTATTTGAAAATAGGGCATTAATCACTTGCTGACGGGATCAAGTGACGCTCCGGATTTGGCCTTTCTGATTCCAGGCTCATGAGCTGATCAACATTATCACCTAACTCTGCCACTTTTAATTACATTACTACTTTTTAAAACTTGAAAGAAAAATTGTAAAGTTTTCCCAATAACAACGATAATAACATGCATGGACATATCATTCTGGTCACTTTTACTTCATTCTCACATGTTAAAAAATATATTTAATTTGATATAAAAATTTTACATTGGCTCTTACTAAAAAAGGTATTGAGAGAAAATGTTCAAAAGGTCGCTAATTACCTTGCAAGTAACTCATTTTTAAACCAATTTTTTTTTATGAATGACTTAAATGAAAATAAGGCATTAATCACCTGCTGGTGGGACTAAGGGATGCTCTGGATCTGGCCTTTCTGGTTCCAGGTTCATGATCTGATCAACATTATCACCTAATTCTGCAACTTTTAATTGCATTACTACTTTTTAAAACTTGAAAGAAAAATTGTAAAATTTTCACAATAACAATGATAATCTTCATTCTCACATGTTAAAAAATATATTTAAATTGATAAAAAATTTTTTACAATTGTTCTTACTAAAAAATTATTGAGAGAAAATGTTCAAAAGGTAACTAATTACCTTGCAGGTAACTTATTTTTAAACCAATTTTTTCTCATAAATGACTTAAATGAAAATAAGGCATCAATCACATGCTGGTGGGACTAAGGGATACTCTGGATCTGGCCTTTCTGGTTCTCATGATTTGATCAGCATTATGACTGGAATCTGCAATTTTTAATTATATTATTATTTTTAAACTTTGAAGAAATTGACTTAAATATAAAACCCCAATCCACTGTTTCTTATATATATTTATTTTTTTTCAAAATAGTCCTAAAAATAATAATAGTTGCAGCTAATATACTTGATTAGTAAGGATACATTAAGAAAGACAACACCTATTTATTACAAATAACTAACTTAACTATTTTTTTTTAATCTATTCAAATTAGTTAATTAGCTCTTATATTAAAAACATGAGGCAATAATAAAATGCATGCGCATGTAATTAAATCATACACGAACATATATATATATATATATATATATATTCTTTCTATTTGAAAATAAGGGCATTTAATTGCCTTTTGGTGGGTGGTGGGAAGGATCTGGCCCTTCAGGACTGAGTCTCAGAACACGAGCAACAGTATTCCTTGATTCTGCAACTTTAATGGCATTATTTGCCACAAGTATGAACACAGTAGCCACTAATAGCATTATTGGAGAGGGCAATGTATTTCTCAACGCCATTGATAATTGATAATTCATCCTTTAACCACTGAAGGCTTCTATTTATAAAGGAAAAACAGTAGCTTTTAATTAATTAATTAATTTGGATTTATTAGATTTTGAGAATATATATCTGAAATCCTAATATGCATTATTGAGAAGGATTCTGTTTTGCATATTCTAAAGTTCATTACCTATTCTCTACTACTTTTCAAATCTAACATAATTTTCTCAAAATTAGATTTAAAGCATTATTGTTGACGACAATGTTTACATATACTGCCTATGTTTGTTTCATAAATATTCAGTACTATTAAATATATAATTAAATATATGTTAACAATACTCTTCTGATTCTTAATATAAAAGCTAAATAAATTT